GGGGAGTCCCTGTTCCCCCGAGCGCCGCAAGGAGTGACCAGGAACAATGGTCACAAGCTGGCAGAGGGAAGGTTTAAGTTGGACATCAGGAGGCGCTACTTCACGGTCAGGGCGGCTAGAGTCTGGAACCAGCTTCCAAGTGAGGTGGTGCAGGCTCCCACCCTGGGGGTTTTTAAGAGGAGGTTGGATGTCCACCTTACTGGGGTCGTTTGACCCCAGTGCTCTTCCTGCCATGGCAGGGGGTCGGACTAGATGATCTGCTCAGGTCTCTTCCAACCCTAGAAACTATGAAACTATGAAACTATGAGGTATAGCACTCTGAAGTAATTAAACCATGATGAGACCAATAGAATTTAATAGTACTATACTATTTATACAGTATTCCTACATTAAGAAGCAAAGGAAACCCTAGTATTGGAAACACAAGGCAGAATGAAAACATTGCTTTAAATATTTGTAAATACTATACTCCTACTGTTTGCTGTCTGACATCTGAAATTCTTACTCTTTTTTTTCTACAGAAAGTCTCCTGCAGAAAATACTGGCGGGTCAAAGATGTATGTCTATAACATTTAAAATGTACTATTAGCTTTGGGAATGCAACACTTTCCTGTGGGCAATGCTTGTAAATTGTTTCAAATTTATTTACAATAGAAGGACTATATAACCTAAGCTGAAGCACCTTTGCAAACACCTAACCTCCAGTCGCATAAGTATGTAGTGCCATTGACTCCTGGGGCGTGTCCCAACATTTGCGGCACCACAAACAGCATGCAACGCAAACCACATGCACTGCACATGCAGGAGTTCACTCTGCTGCTAATTTGCTTTGCCAGAAAAGTGGCACATGGTGGCAGCATGCACAGCCCAAAACCGGAGCCTGGTCAGCAAGAGCCATGCTCTGGCTGCCAGCCAGGCTCCATGTGCCCGCATTGCCACTTCTGGAGCCCTCTGAGGCCCTCAGGACCCCAGGTAAGGCTGCTGGTGCCAGCCCAGGTGCTGGCCTCTGGTTCCCCCACCTCACTTGGGGCACCTTGCTGCACTCCAGAGCATGCAAGCAGGGGCATTCCCCAGGGACAACTAGCAGCAATACACACTAGCAATACAAGTAGCAGGGGATACACGTTCCTGCTTATGGGGACGTGCCCCGGGGGAATTACTCATAGGAATAAACTTACTTAAGTATATAAGCGATTGCAGTAGAAGGGCTTTAGTTTGCTAGTTATTTACTATAATTATGATGTTGGGGATTAGAAACATATACTATTAACAAACCTCAAGTTCACTCTGCTTGTGCAATATTTATCATATAGAAAAACACTTCATAAACTTTTTAGTAAAAGCATTACGAGCCTTAAACAAACCAAAATGTATTACCCATGCTAAAACAATCAATCTAGAGATATCAGCTATTAATAACACTACATGGGTCACAGCAGTGACAGGCAAAGAAATATTTTGTGCTCTTTGAGTATACATATAATTAAACAAAATCTGTGGAAAATATTGCTCCAAATACTAACTCCCTACTGGGTAGGGAGATAAATCTGCTAGTACAATTATTACTCATGTATATGCACTGAATTATTTATACAAATTTACTGACTCATTAAATACATATATAACATTGCCCTGCAGGACTATCAGTTCATCAGAACAAATTACATCTCAAAAGTCAACAATTTCTGTGGAAGAGCAAACTACTACAAGGTATTACAAACAGATATAACCAAAATTTTTGACATGATATGATGACAATAATTGTTGATGTAGCAATATGTGTAATATACTGTACTAGATCTCTTAGACTGGAGTATTTGGTGGGTTACTTTGGTACTGTAGATGGTCAAACCAAGGAACTAGAAGCTAGAACTGAGTTCTAATTCTGGTTCTTCCACTGATTTGATGTATTACTTTGCAGCAGACATTGCACATCTTTGGGTATGTCTGCACTGTAGGCTAAATGAGCTAGCTTTGGTACTTGGAGATTGAAGTATAGTTATGGTGCCTTAGAGCTCAATATCCATAGTGTAACTAGGGGAGGCTAGGGCAGCCACCCTGTTTTGCTTACTTGGGTGTGGGAAGGATGGGGAGCAAACACTGATGTCGCAGCCACACAGCCATACTAGCAGTATGGTGGCACCTGTGTGTCACTAGTGCCCCTGGTACCCAGCTGTGTTGTTATGCCTTTGGTCAGTAGGAGTTACCATATTTACTCAAATCCAAGATGAGATTTCCCCCCCCCTCATTTAACATGGGTGGAGGGGGAGAAAGACCCTTGTCTTAGATTCAAGTATGAGGTGACTGCTGTGGCTCTGGCCTCAACCTGGGGTCAGGACTGGAGCCACAGCTGCTGCCTGCCTCTTGCAAGCCCCTGAAGCCTTGGCCCTGCCCTCCCTGCTTGCCTACCCACCCCTCCTCCTTCCCCCACTCCACCACTACCCTCTGGCTCTGGCAGGCTTTGTCCCTGCTCCAGTCCATGGCATGGAGCATGACTGCTCTGGCTCCAGCCCAGCTTGGCAACAGATTATGCAGCAGTGGCAGCTTCGGTCAGGCTCCAGAGCCTGGGCTGAAATTGCTGCCACCATTGACACTGCTAGCACGCTGGGCTGCGGCTGGAGCAAGCATGTGCTCCATGATCCAGGCTAGAGCAGGGCCAGAGCCTGCTGGAACTGGAGGATAAGTGGCAGGGAAGGCTGCAGGGAGTGGGAGACAATGTGGGGTAGGAGGCTTGCAGGCAGTGGGGGAAGGCAGGCAGCAGGAAGGGACAAGTGGTGGGAAACTGAGAAAGGGCCAGGCTGCTTGACCCCACCCTGCAATTGTCACCCCCTGCACCTGCCCCAATTGCTTGCCCCACCACTGCTTCCTCCCTGCCACTGCCTTTCCCATCACATGTCCCTATATCACCTCCCCACAAACTGCCCCGCTATCACCCAATCCCCCATTGCCTGCCCCTCTGCCACTGCTTCACTGATGGGGAGACAAATTTAAGGTGACTCTGATAATTAGATTCTATACATAGAAAATTATAACAAGTTTATAATTTGCTGGGGGTTGCCTTAAATTCAGTTAGGTAAATCTGGTTATTTAGTGTATTCCTCAGCCTAGAACTAGGTAGCTCAGGTATCTCTATATACTGCAGTGCATTGTGCACTGTCAAGAAGGCCTTTGTGTTTTTATTTCTCCACATATAAGATAGTGACACAATGGAAATTTAATACATGCCTTCATAGTGCTACATGGGTAAAACTGCCATGTTGATACAGAGTATTGTCAGTGCTTGAGGCAGAAGAGTAATGTGATAAAATAAAAAAAAAGGTTTTAACAGATATAATTACTCTCCTGGTAAGAGTTACAGCCTGGATAAAAATGGTCAGTGAAAGGTTTTCAGAATAATATTAACATATGACAAAACTGTTGATGAAGAATGCTTGTGGAAATACTGATTACTGAAATTCAGGCAAATTGTGAGGTTCTGTCAAAATGGAAATGGTATATTTTCCAGCGCAGTCAGTAATAACAATGCTTGATTTTGTGCCCTTAGCTAATATGATGCCTTGGCTATGCAATTCAGCTATTTAGCTGTTAATATGAATTAATTACAATAAAGCCAATTTTAGATACGTACTGAATTACAACGACACACAGTTTGCTGTTTTTAATTGGAAATATAAAAGGCTACAGATTTTAAAGTCCTTTTTAATGAGATCAATTTTATTGATCTGATTTACAAAGTATAATTTGGTGGACTCTAAAGCCACAAAACATTCCTTTTTAATCCTTCAAACCCCTTAGTATATTAGGATAGTATAAAATAATAAAGGAAACATCCCCAAGATGTCTGGCAGGGCAATTCTCTAGGAAGAAAGCAATGCTTCAATAAAACATTTTTGTCAACACATCCGAGAGATCTTACAGAATAAAATATGCCAGTGTATTAACTACGGAAGTCACAGTCATTCTTCACTCATAAAAGCTTGTTAAAGTCTTACTTAATCCCCATCCTCAATCAATTCATATTCATCCTCCCTTAGTGGTTCTCATTAACATATCAAGCTTTATATTACAGTTCCTCCGCTGGTGGAGAGCTATAGAAATAGCATTTGACTGATCTACAAGTTACTATGGAAACCTTGCTCTACAGTTATTTGTGTCAGTATGTAAACTATAAGTAGCCTTATTACATAGTGGACTAAATTTGTCCCTTTATCCCTGGTAAAATTGTACTCAATTTCACTCATGCTTCAGAAGGAATTCTGTAACAATTAATGATTCATTTTCATGAACCTATAAATTATGCTATATTTCAGCCAACAAAAGTGCAGTATAAACCTCTCAAGAGAGACATCTTTTTCTTTCTCTTAAAAATGTTATATTAATGCTAAGACTTTGGGAATATTTATACCACACAAAGGAAATTTAACAGTTAAATGAAAAATACCTGTTCTAGTAACACTGAAGTTTAATAAAATAACATTTTAGCCAAAATAAGAAATCCTTTACTGATACACATTTTGATTCAAAACTCTAATATTAAAATGCATTTTTAAAAGGTACATATTTTCTTGTTTGATTGATTTTCATCTGGAACAAGAGTGGGCAATTATTTTGGGAGGAGGGCCACACTGAGTTTTGGCAAGCCATTGAGGCACCCAGGGGCAGATAAATATTAATTTTCTAAATTTTGGGAGGGCCCCATGGGCTGGATAGAATGGCTTGGTGGGCCGCATGCGGCCCATGGTCTGCATTGTGCGCACTCCTGATCTGGAGGGATATTCTTAAACTTACTGAATCAACCCCTATATAAAATGACTGGAATATGACACTATGCATATGTCTTGACTTTCCCGGGGTGCAAAGAAGTGCAGAGATACTCGTTTTTATGCGTCTGGATTAAATGTGGATTTATATTAATTTTAATGAGGGTGGGATAGATATTAAATCCATTTTGCTTCAACATATATCTTGAAGCAGACACATAAGTTATGAGATAGTGCTGATTAGGTTTGTGGAATATCCATTTCTGACTTTCTTTGGCAAACTCAATGCCATGCTTAAAGGCTTCATGTTGTTGCAAATCCCCTTTCTTGAGGAGAGCTGTAATTGCTTCTGTATGGAATCTGTCAGTGCTACCAGGAGTATGATTCAAAGGAGGTTATCTGAAATGGATGTAAGGTGCTACCTGTCCCAGGGGTAAAGAATGTTATCTCTACTTTGCAATTTCCAATGGAAGGGACTGAACCTATTCCTATGGAAGTAACTAACAAAACTTCCATTGAACTCAATGAGACCAGTGCACACCTTAGGCTAAAACACATCCTTGTGGTTTACACAGCACCTACTCTCTTGCTTCTGGCATGCTACATTCCACTATAACACAGGGGGGCCAACCTGTGGCATGTGTGATGAGTGGCACAGGCAGTTTCTGTGTGTGGCATATGGAAGACTGGGGAAGGGGTAGGCAGCACAAGTAACATAAGGCAGGGAGCAGAGAGCAGATTAAGGGCATCATAGCTACACTTGAAGATGGTATGGAGCTTTATTTGTAACACACCTGCCGAAAATATTGGCCCCTACTGCACTATAATGTTTGGATTTTAAATTTTAGAAAATGTGGAGGGTGGAGGATCTGGTTGTGGTTATATGCAGGAGTAGAGGAGTGTTAGATTGGCTAATTTTTACCTACGTATAGACTGCTGTGCAAAGTTGGTGTCTGATCCTGAAAATTGCTGGGATCTTTTATTGGGGTTGTGGGTACCTAGTATGTCTTGGAGTCAGTGCCTTAATATGTATGTGCTCCCCTCCATACTGCACAACCAATGGGATTTACTCATGCTTTTTGGATCTTTGGCTTGATATCATATTGCACTGCTAGGAGACCCTTCCCCCACAAACCAGCTAGCTACTATGAATCTCTTTGAATGATTTCAATATAAATAAATAAATATATATTACCACCATAGAAAGGGTACACATGCGAAGGAGTGATTATGACAAAAGCTGTGAAATGTGAAATTGTAACTTACTGTTATTGTTACAAAGAAAACAAAAGTATAGACAAGAATTTCAAGGATCAAGTGACCAACATGACCCTGTTGTAGGTGGGAGCGAAGTTCTCACTGGGTTTTTGTGTGTCTTGATCCCTTGATCTCCTGCAAAGTACATACAGAGATTACTATAACTCTGGGGCTGCAGTAACTTATTTGGAAGTTGGAGTAGATGGGAGTCAGAGATGGAAGGACACATGCTCTTTCTTGGACAAGCACAGTTCAATAAGATCTATGGTCAGATAAAAAAATTTGCTTTACATATAGTCCTTACAGAACTTGATACCTTCCCTGAATTGAATCGGGGTGAATTTGTGTGAGTGAATCAAAAACTAATGAAAGATTACCAAGGATCCTGGTTTTCTCTGATTTAAAAAAACCCCCCAATTTTTAGTTAAAAAAAAGTAACCCCAAATCACATTTTTCCATGATTAAAATGAAACCTCTCTCTCTCTCTATCTATGTGTGTGGGTGTGTGTGTGTGTGGTGTTTCACTTAAATCATGGAAAAATGTGGATTAGGGGTTACTTTTTTTTTTAAACCAAATTTGGAGATTTTTTAAAATCAGAGAAAATCAGGTTCTCTGAAGATTACACAATGTCTGTAAATAGTTAGGAGATAATGAGTGTATAGCAGAATACTTTCAAATTACTTGCATTTTGA